CTTCTCCTTTGTCTCATCTGCATCTAGAATGAAGACCAAGTAACAGACGCTAACTAACTAGACGTTGAGTAGGTGTTAACGCGATGGCCTTAAACAGATAATTTACATTTTATGGAAAATAATAATTCTTTAAAAATCTGGTAAAATATCAAAAGTGCATTATACAGTATACAGGAGCACCCTTCTCCCGGGTAACTTCTGCTACCAAAAAAGGCAGAAAAAAGAAGTCAAACATTATGTATGATAAAGCGCATATCCCTCTCCGATAAGTGTGGGTGGACGACGAACCCAGAGGTCTCCCAGCACCTCCACGACAACTTCCAAGAGCTTCCGGGTCCCCCACCTCCCCAGGGACCCTGGGCTCAGGCCAGGTTCCCTCCACCCCAGGCTCAGGAGCCAACTCCCGCCGCCAGGAAGCACCATTGCTTTGGTTTGGAGTTGGTTCAGCTAGCACCACATCTCCTGTTCGCCTATGGGACAAATGTGTGGAGGCAGAAGGGCCACGTGCAGGTGGCAGAGAGAAAACTGTCGGCTCGCTCGGAAGGGTGTCCCTGTTCCAATACACACAGGCTTTTCTGATCCTTTGCTCTCAGCCAAGTCACCTCAGCTTTTCACATCCACTGCTCCAGTGTGATTATTTTCATCGAAAGAGAGCAGCTAAGCCATTTCCTCTCCGGCAGCCAGCTAGACGAGAATAAATGACATCCTCTCCCCTCTTCCCTTCTTCCAACACATTGTTCGTTAAGAAATGATCCTTGGCCCCTTGACTGCATTTTTGTTTATTTTTTTTAGGACAGCCCTGGGTGAGTATGGGGGAGATGAACCGTACTGGGCAAGGAATTTCAGGATATTCTGGGCTGAGAGTCAGGGGATCAGACTTGAGGGTCCGACTGGATCCCTTAGCAGCTGAGAAACTGAAGTGCTGGGCCTTAGTTTTCTCATCTGGGAAATGGGGAGACAGAAGCCAGCCCTGCAGTCCTGGCCGGGTGGATAGGAGGCGATGTAGGTGAAAATGCTTTGTAAAGATTGTAACAGCTAGGGAGGGTTCATCCTTTCTGGCCAGATCTCATCAGAGGCGGTCACCCTGCTCTCATCGCCCGGATCCCCACCTTACCGTTCCACTCTCTGGAATGCTCCCAGACCCCACATGCCACTCGGGCTGCCTCAGACTTGGAGCTGGCCTTTTTACATGGAAAGACCCAAAAGTCTTCTGATTTCCCTCTTTTCCCTAAGGAATGACACCCAAGGACCCTGACTCAGCAGAAAACCACCTCCCTGCCACCAGCTTGCCCTCACATAACCTTCTTCCACAGATGGCATGATCGATCCATCAGTGGGGCTCAGTAACACCTAGTTTTATGCAAAGCACCTTCTGGATGTCTGTCTCCCTACACTCCCAATGTAAGTGAAGTGGCCTCTCTTTTTTCCCCAAGATTCTGCAACAGGGGCTCCCACATTCACAATAAGAACCCACAAGTCTAGATTTCCAACCAGGGCATAAGAGGCTCAAACCGTAAACAGAAACCCCAAATACATGCCACCAACTTAATCTCACTATGAACCATTTCTTGGAATGAGCTGAAACTAACCACCATCACCACCAGAGGGTGCCACTTGCAAGTCTGTATCAGAAGTCAGCTTAGAACTTCTCTACAGCCACCAACCTGCTCCGTCAGCTCAGACTATTGTCCCCTCAACCTGAGCGACCAGGTTGTTATGTGCTTGGTTTCACCCTGTCCTCCAAAGTGCCCAGTCTAGTCCATGAGGAGACAAAGGGAGTTTTCAGGGCCAACTTCCCATCCCGTGGGAGCCCTGGCCTGTGCTGGGTGCTGGGTGGGATTTTCAGGGGAAGGCTTTGCAGGTGTCTGTGAACAATACATAAACAGACAGGCTGTCGGCCTGCCCTCGGGCACCCGCCTGGTCCCGTGAGGACAGCAGGGACTCCATGGCGGAGAAACGCACCTGGCCTTGCTGGCTTCCTGGGAAGGTGACAGGAGCCACAGACGTGTTTCTGAGCTTTGTGCGCCTGACAGAGCGACTCCCACACGTGGCCTCTACGACCTCATCTGGCTCTTCTGCAGAACCTGGGGGCTCCTGGACATTCTTCCCCGTGACACCCATGGCTCTGGACCATCTGACCACCAGAAGCCGGAAGAATGTTCCAGAACGTACAAATCAGACTCAGGTTAGCCAGAGTGAGAACGAACTGTGAGGGTTTCTCCTTGAGGTTCCCCAGAGCATCTCTCCACGAACTTCGCGACAGGACAGATAACCCAAGAACCTGCTTCGGACAATGCTTCGGATCCCGGAGGGCTGACTAGGGGGAGGGAGTGGGGGTGAGGAGGGTGGCAGAGCTAGGTACCCCCCGAAATCTCAGCCTATCTTGCTGTTAGTGTTTGGCTTTATGGTGGCAGACCACGTCCGACTGGGCGGACCGAGGGTTTCTTCTGTGGCCCAAAGTACAAGCAGACGTGGGGGAATTCTGCCCACGTCAGGCACTCAGCTTGGACTCCCCGACTGGGCGAAACATCCCCCAAAACAAAAGAGGTTCAACAGAAATCATTTTTCCTGTTCCTGCCTCTCCTCTTCTCCCTCGGGGCGTATCGACCCACGCTCCCAGCCCCCAGGCCTAATGAACAGAAGGTAAAGGAGAACCAGGTCCTGAAATCACTCGTGGTGGGGACGAGGGGGAGAGGGTTAAAAAGAGCCTCTGCCAGGCGAGGAATCCCGGGCCACGTCCGGAGGGCAGGTCAGACGCCTTCGACCTGGACGTTGATGTGGCGGGCTCCTCCTCGGGGCCGGTTCAGATGGCCAGCCAGTGCTGCAGCTGCAGGAGAGGACACCAGGCCTCAGTGCCGGGCCAGGTGGGGACCGGGCGGGAGGGTGGCGGGGAGCACAGCAGAGGCAGAACTGCTCCCCCACCCCTCGCCTCTGAAGACCGCAGAGAACATGTGTGCGCGGATTCCCTAATTGTCACTGGGGCCCAGAAAGGGCAAAGGAGCCTTCCCAAAGACACACGGCAAGCCCGAAGCGGGGGATTCACCGGGACCCTCCCCAGACACCCACCCTGAACTTCTTCTAAGGGGGGAAGAGCTAGGACTCAGGTCACCATGTCACTGATGCCCTTCCTTCAAGGTAAGAACTCCTCGGTCTGTTTTGGTGACACTCCATGGTGACAACGCAAAGAGGGAGGGTATTGCTTAGCAAAGTTTGGGCGTTTGGCGCTCCAGGACCAAGGAGCGAGGGACGGGCCCCTCCCCCAGTCCTGGCGCCGCCCCCTCCTCAGTGCACTACGGCCTCCTGCTGCTCTGGGTTCTCTCCTGCCTGGGACCAGGCACAGCAGGCAGCAGCCAGGACCTCCGCACGCCCCGCCCCACACGGTCTGGGCTGCACCCACCTGGAACTGCCTGACATCCCTCTGGGCCACCAGGTGATGCTCGTTCTCGGGCGTGACGCCATAGGCCAGTCTCTGTGAGAAGACAGAAATGGCAGTGGCCTCAGCTAGGCCCAGGGGCACCCTGCCTGTGGCCCAGCAGGCACCCCCGAGGAGGGCCACCTGCTGTTTGGCCCTGAAGTCTCACGTGGACAGCATCTGAGGTGCGTACGAGACACTCTCCACGCCGGTCAGTTCACCTGGAGTCATTCACCCAGCAAATGTTTATGGAGCCAACAGCTACACGGTCAGACCCTGGGGATCCAGCATCCAGGAGACTCACACGCCTTCTGCTTTGGGGGAACTTACAGTGTACAGAAGGGACGAGCATTGAATAAACACACACAAGGGCAATTCTAACACCATGACGGGAGTCAGCACTGCAGCAAGAAGCTCGGAGCACAGCGAGAGGACAGCGGCTGGGGCAGGGCAGGACTCGGGGCCACGCCTGGGACCTATGTCTGCCGCCTGGAACCTACGACTGACGCCTGGAATCCATGACTGCCACCAGGCTCAGTCGGCGGGAAGCCCTCCCCGCTCCCAGCGTGTGAAGAATAAGGGCCTGGAAGCAGGTCCCAGTTTCCAAGTCCAGGATGAGCTCACAGAACACGGACCCTCCAGGTGACCTGGAGGACCCCAGACTGTGAGATTTCACGGACGGGGCGGGGGGCAGACGCAGCCCTGCCTGGGGCCCTGCGCCCTGGGCTCCGGTGCAGCTCACGCCCTCGCGTCCTCATCTGTTCGCCTGCCCCTCGTGAGAACACAGGCCCCGGGAAGCTGTCTGCCCACCGCCCGGACCACGCAGACTCTCGGTGACGACCTGCGGTGCCGGCGCACGCGGCCACCAAGGGAGGAAGGCTTCGTCTCGCAAAGCGGGAGCGTGAAGGGAGGACCGCCCCGCCGTTCATAGACGATGGTCGTTTCCACAATCCAAGAGTAAAGGGCACCACTTCCCAGACACTACGCGACGTGTGCAGGAGGTAACTGGCTTAGGCTGATCGGGTTCAGGTTCAGGAATGGGGCAGGTGACAGCAGACACGGGGCACGGTGAGCTCGGGTAGGGAGGGCGGGGACACCTGGGGACACGAGGGACCTTAGAGGGGGCCACGGGGATAGGCCCATTTACGGTCATCTGTCTCACTCATCCTTAGAGGACTAGGCGGCCGAGCGGCACCTTCTCACGTAAGTAACAGTAGGAACAGCAGCGGGAGCACGTGGTACACACGACATGGAATGTAACGGCGAGTCCGTGTGACGAACGCCTCCCACGCGTCTGTGCGTCTGACACCCTGCCAAACACTCTTCAAGGTCTGTATGATCATCCCCAGTTTACAAATGTGGAAACAGGTTCAGGGGATACACAAGTGGGCCAACCTGGTGGGTCCGTCTGACCCTAGCGCCCGCGTCTAGCGGGAGTGACTCAGATGCCCACTCCCATGCCGTCCCCTCCACTTCACCCCACAAGGCCAGCCCAGAGCTCACCTCCCGCAGGGAGCCTGGAGTGCTGAGGAACTTGTAGACCACGTAGGCGGGTACCAGGGTCATAGAGGAGAGCGCGATGCCCCACCCGACCCAGTTGGCCCAGAGCGGGAAGATGTAGTCATCATAGGTGAGTGGCTTGAAGTTGATGATGCTCACCACCACCACGAACTGGGGGGCCGGGGAGTGGGGGGGGCGGCAGGAAGGCAGTGAAGAGAGACAGGGAGAGAGAGGGGAGAGGGGAGCGGGTGGGAGGGAGGGAGAGAAGCAGAGAAAGATCGGAGAGAAGTGAGGAGCCGGGCGGCAGATGGATCACGGGAGCCGAGGCGGCCAGGAAGGGGGGAAGAGAGAAAGCAGAGAGAGAAAAGGGGAGAGAATTCAAGAAGCAAATGACAACGCAAAAGAGACGAAGGCAAGGGAAACCAGAAAAGAAAAACAGAAAGGTGACCTTGGAGCTGGGCCTAGCGGTGGCACGCAGCCCCCAGGGACCTTCCGCCCCGCTGAGGTGGAACCCACCACGGTGTCAACAGGCCTGAGCTTCCCAAGTGTCCCGATCACACGACCAGGACTCTGCCTCCCAGAGCCTCCTCCCCAAGATGCAAATACGTCCACCCCACGCCCGGCCGGATCCAGCCGCCTCGCCCCGGGAGACCCCGGCCCCGCACCACACACCAGGAGGAAGGCGGGGCTGACAAACTTCCAGCACAGTCTCCAGTACAGGCCCGGCTTGAACCCCATCATCTGCTGGATGTCGTTGCTGAACCTGTCCACACCTGCGAACACACGGGCAGGCCTGTCCCCGCGGCCACCGCGGAGCCCCTGGCTGTCCCCTGCTGCCCACCCCCCCCACGAGAGCCCAGGCAGAGAGAAGGGCAGCGAGGCCAGACAGTGACCCCGGGCACTTGGACAACCTGGCACGGGCCCTTGGCTGGTCCAGAACAAGGGAGATGACACACTCAGGGAGAGTGTCACCTTCTATGTGCCACCCGATTCATTTTTCAGAGGGAGGCCGCTCGGGGAGGGGGGGGACTTGCCCCCGGTGACACTGCCAGGTCGGCCTGACTCCTGGGGTTTCATTCTTATTCTCTCTCTTAAACAACGGCGACTGTGTACACAGCGCCTTCCCCCCGACTGCAGCCTCACAGAACAGCCCCAACGCTCACTGCAGTCTCTCTCCGGATGGTAGAAAAAGTGGAAACAGGACTAACGCTTGGATGTGACACATACTGACAAAAAAAAAAAAAAAACAATGACAGCACATTTGTCCCTTAGTAACATGTTCTCCTGTTCAGCTCCGGAGTAAGGGTGCCAGACACAGGGCACCGGGTTACATTTGAACTTCAGATAGACAAAGAGAAAAATGTTAGTTTCAGCACGTCCCATGCAACATTTGGGACTTACGCTAAAACTACACATGGTTGACCTGAAATTCAAGTGCAGCTGGGAGTCTTGCGTTCTATTTGCTAAATCTGGCTCCAGAATGAATTGCGTGGCAGCAGCTTCCTCTGAGTTCCTCTTTACTAGCTGACAAGGTGGCCCAGAGGCCGATGACACCCGTTAAAGGGAGTCATGCGACGATGAGCTGAGGGTGGGAGAGCCGTGGTCCAGCCCTGGGACAGGCCAGTGGCTGCCCCGGAAATGGAAGCCCCTTTGCTCTGCAGGTGGAAAGGCTCCAGGAGCACAGGGGGCCAAGGCTTTTGAGCGTGCCTGGGGCCCTTTTCAGCATGTACCGTAAAACCAGGAGACGCCGATGGCTTCCATGAGCACAGCAAACAGAATAGAGGTCCCAGCCGCGAACGTGTCCAGCAGAGTCACCACATATATTCCACCCTGCAGTGTGGACGGAGAAAGCCTGAGGCCATGTCAGCCGGAAACGGCCACTGGCTGTTACATTCGCCGCGATGCACCTGTCCATCCCTGTCCTCCTCGCTCAGGACCCCGTGTGAGGACCCGGTGACGGGGTTGTGCGGCTGCTGTATTGACGTCAGCAGTTAACGGGGTTGCCTGGAGAACCCCAGGCTCGGAGGCAGGAGGTGACAGCGGGGTGGAAGCCTGGGGAATCAGCCGCAGGGCCAAGGACACAGGTCCTGCCACGGTTCCCCGAGCTCACCCCGGCGCCGAGGCTGGAAGCGTCTGACTGGACTGGAAAGCGACCCACGAGTTCCAGGTGACCCGGATCCCAGCCCCTCCTCACCTTGGTTATGCAAAACAGGGCCAGCAGGAAGGTTCCGAAGGTGACGCCAAACGTGAAGAGTTTCCGGTGTCGTTTCAGGACCTGGAAGTCATCGGCCAGGCCCGTGATGACCGCCTCCATGCCTCCCATCTGGAGGGGACCAGGCAGGAGTGAGGGGCGCCCGCGCCTCGGTCTCAGGACCGCGGCTCACGCAGCCGGGCGGCCACCCCCACTCTCTCGAGAAATCTCACCCCGCTTCTGATCTGTTCTCCAGCAAACTCAGAAACCGCGGGGCGGGGGGTGGGGTGAACGTGGAACTCTGTCTTCCCCTAATCAACAGGCGCTTGTCTCTGGTGCCACTCGCTCGGCAGGGGCGAGAGGCCGAAACTCTCATGTGACATGTTGGCAAGTAGATAAGGATCTCCTGCAAACAGCTTCTCGCGGTGAGAACCCAGGCAGCGGCTTCTGACAAGGACTGTGGCCGCCCTTCTCACGCTCGAGCAAAGTGGTCACCTCAAACTCCACTCTCAGAGTGTGAAAGGGCCTCCGAGCCCACAGCTATGGGCACATTTATTCTTTATGGCCTCCTATGAGGACCAATCATGTTTTAAGTTGAGCGACGCCCGTGGGCTGGGGCGCTGGACCGGCGGCCTGCACGCCACCCCTCGAAGCCTTGTGCAAGTCACTGCCGCCCTGGGCAGGCGCTGCTCACCAACGTCAGTATTCTTCCCTAAGGGCCGAGAAGCGGGGTCAGAATCCCTCTCAACACACTGCTCCTGGCAGATCTACCAGCTGGGAAGAAAAGGCCACAGAGGAAAGCCGCCCGCCAGCCCCACGCCGAGGCTTCTCGCCAGCTGCCGGGCAGGGTGCGCTAAAGGCGGACGTGGCCGTAAAGAGAGGCCAGCAGATCTGAGCTCACACGTGTGTAAAATGAAACATTCTGAGACACGAATGAGGCTCAGCGTGTTTCTGAGGGCGCCCGGCGACGAGACGCGTGGGAAGAGAGCTCGGGGGGAGGATGGGAGGTCCGCGCGCCCTCTCTGGCTTCACGTGCCCCACCTGCGAGGGGCGAGCATCGGGCCGCCTCGTCTGAGGTCCCTCTCGTGTGGATTCCCGTGATGCCACTGGGTGGCTCTCGGTTCTTGGCTGTGACCCAAGTCTTGCCTTTCTGAGTGAGGACTCATTGGGACCTTCTGGAACAGCTACTAATCAGGGTTCGAGTGGTAGGTTGAGTAGTGTGTGTGTATGTGGTAGGGGGAGGTCAGACCCAGAGGCGTGTGTGTGCATGCATGTGGGCGTGTGTGCACACGTGTACGTGTGTGTGTGTGCGCATGTGTGCATGTGTGTATTGTCGGGCGGGGAGGTCAGGCCCAGCAGTGTACGTGTGTGTGCATGTGTGCATGTATATGTGTGCACATGTGTGTGTGTGTGTGTATTGGGTTGGAGGAAGTTCAAGCCCAGTGGTGTGTGTATGTGTATGCATGCATGTGTGTGCATGTATGTGTGTGTGTCTGTATGTGTGCGTGAGTGTGTGTGCGTGTGTATCAGATGGGAAGAAGCTCAGGCCCAGCAGTGTGCGTGTGCATGTGTGCATGTGTGCGTGCACATGTATTGGGTGGGAGGAAGGTCAGGCCTGGTGGCGCGTGTGTGTGCGTGCATGTGTGTATGCGTGTGTGTGTGTGTGTGTGTGTGAGTGTGTTGGGCGGGGTATCCTGAGCAGGGTCACTCACTGAGCTGTCAATCCCCAGAGCCAGGAGCATGATGAAGAACACGACAGCCCAGAAGGTAGATCCCGACAAGGTGGAGATGGCTTCTGGGTACAGGATGAAGACTAGGCCAGCACCTATGAGACACAGCAAGCACCTCGTCAATGGCCGTGACTGTTGGTCTAAGCTGCAGGTTGGGGGAGAGCACCGTGACGCCCAAGCAGCCTCAGATCAGCCCACGGCCTTGCTCAGTCATGTGCGGACAGAGAAAACCAAGGCTCTGAAGGTGACCGGCGAAGCCAGCTCCAGCTCGCGGTTCATCCACGCACCGAGGAGGCTGCCCTCCGGCAGGCAGACTGGAGAGCAGAGCCTCGCCCGGGCAGCTGTGGGTGACACGCTGCGAACCCCACCTCCTGCACACCACGAGGGATCCTCTTATCCTCAGAGTCCATTAGAGGTAGCCCCTCCCCAGGTCTCAGCTTCTTTGTGGCCACAAGAAAATGGGAAGAAAAGCGGTCGCAGGCTCCAGAGTTGGACTTGTCAGGGCCGGAGTGCTGGCTCGGCCGCTGGGTGACCTTGGGCGACTCACGCAGCCTGAGTCTCTGTGTCTCATCTTTAAAGCGGACCTATTCACACCCTCACTGTGAGGACTAATGAAGGTCATGTGCTCGGCACGGGGCTGGCACAGAGTGACGCTCCACAATCTGTCCTGACTCTCACTGTGAGGACTAATGAAGGTCATGTGCTCGGCACAGGGCTGGCACAGAGTGGATGCTCCACAATCTGTCCTGGACTCAGAGAGGAAGATTCTGTTACGTACACAGGGCCCCGCACTGCCCGGAATTCCCACCGACAGACTCAGGAGAGTCCGCCACGCGGGCCGCTTAGCAACCTCCACGTCCAGCCCGCTCTGTCCCCAGGCCACCCGAGAGCTGTCCCCAGGCCACCCGAGAGCTGTACAGACACGGACGAGGTGGCTTCCTCAGCCCCCTCGTCCTCCATGGGCCCGGTCTGCCCACCCACCTTCCGTGGCGACATCCTCGATGTTGACCTTGTGCTCGTGGGCCATGTAACCGAGGATGGAGAAGATGGCGAACCCGGACACGAAGCTGGTGACACAGTTGATGGTGCTGGTGAGCAGGGCGTCCCTGCGGGGAGAGGCAAGTGAGTTCCAGTCGCCTGACTCCTCCCAACCCGGCTTTTAACCACGGGGCCGTCCGCGGAATCACAGCTTCGAATGCTTTGGGCTTCCTTGCTGGCCCCCGGAGCCCAGTTTCTTCCCGTAACTAGGTCAGTCCCTGCAGGAAATAGGGCAACAGCTTCTGGATGAAACGCTCTGAGACCAGGGTCTGGTATCAAATTCTTCCTGGGGAATTCGGCACCAGCCCCGTTTCTTCAACAAGCTTTCCGTGCCTCCCCCGTGCCTCTCGGCTGCTCGCCCAGGCGGTCAGCTTTGCTAGGACGGCCCAGCCCTCCTTCCAGGCTCATTTTCTGTGAGTCCCCAACATGAGTTTTTTGACCAAAGCAATCAACTTGCTGGCCCACCTCCCGCGCTTTGCTCGGGTGGTTCCCCGTGCAAGCTGTCCACGCTGTCGTGCGGTCTCTGCCTGTCAGAGTCCTAGCTACCCTCCATGGCTCGCCTCAAACGCACCTCCATGCACCGACTGATCCCCCAACAGAAGGATGATCACCCCATTTCCTTAGCCTTCCTAGAGCCTGCCCCGCTGGTTTGCATTCCCCCTACTCTGCCTCGTACCAGAGGGACTGCAATTCTGTCTAGAGCCTTTGACAGAGGATGCTGGAGGCAGGCCCGAGGTGTGCGCGTGTCTAAAGCCCTCACAGCACTCGGCCCGCAGGAGGCAGCGTTAAATGTTTACTGAACCGAGCAGAGCGTGGCCTTCTGACCCCACTGCCCTGCGATTTTTACCTCTGATCCTGCCAGGCCCTCACCCATCATGCGACCAGCCAGGATATCCCGTCCTTGCCTGCCTGGGCCCCAGATTAACAGACGGGTAGTGTTGCCTGTTCTGAAAGCCACATAGTGTGTCCCTCTCCCAGCTACCCATCCCTGTGATCTCTCAGTGCTGGTGGCCTCAAATTTCCCAGCCCCTCACCCAGCATTTAATAGGCATCCTGCATTGAAATGAGTTCATCAGGACACTCATAGGCCGTGTCAGAGTTCACTGAACACCCACGACGGTCCACGTGCCTCGTTTCACAGAGGAAGAAACCCATGAAGAAAAGTTCCCTTGTCCCAAACCAGAGCCCGTCTCTCCCACCCCTGCAAGGGTCGACCCCCAGGATTCAGAGCTTTCCAGAGCCTTGAAAAGGATCTTACCTGTAGCAGTTGTTGTCAAATTTGTTGTAACTGGCAAATGCGATCAAGACTCCAAATCCAGCCCCCAAGGAAAAAAATATCTGAGTGGCAGCATCGATCCATACCTGAGATGGGCAGACACAAGCCATCACCCTCGAGGACGGGACCGCCTCACTGCTCCAGAAGGGCTGGGACGCCCCCAGGGATGCGTACTGCTCTCCTTAAAAAGAGGGTTCTATGAAGGCCACTAAATGGCCGCATAGACTCCCGCACCGTCAGCGCTGGACGGGCTCGTGGAGACCCACGGGTGCAAATCAAATCAGCCCCGGTTGCGGGGAGCACTGCAGCCAGCGTGGGAAGGAAGGATGGTCCCAGGCTCCCCCTGAAGTGGGGAGCGGAGCTGGCACCAGATTTCCTATCCCTGCCTGCCCTGGTGGGGGGCGGGGGCCCTCTCCAACCCTGGCCCAGTGCAGGTGGCCACGGGGCACTGACCGTGGCCTCCTTCAGGCGGTGGAAGTCGATGTGCAGGTAGGCGTTGATGCCGTTGGAGGCGCCAGGCAGCGTGATGCCGTGGACCAGGAGCACGAACAGCACGAGGTACGGCAGCGTGGCTGTGATCCACACCACCTGGCGGAGGGAGGCGAGCTCGCCGTGAGGGCCTCGCTGTGCACCTCTCCGCCCTGCCCGTTCCTGACCGAGCCGGTAGCGCCCTCCCCGGCTTCCTGCACGCAGCGCCCATGCCACGAGCTCCATCACTAGGCCGGGCCAGGCCGGGATGCAGTGACCTGACACGAGCCACACCCTAGAGCAGCTCAGAACCGGACGGAGTCAGCCACACTGGGCGCAGCGCTGCCGTGGGAGCTACGGGCGTGGGACACAGAGCGCCCGTCGCCTCTGTGGATCCGGCCGTTGTCCCCGGGAGAACTAAGCACACCCGCCTTTGTGCCCCGTCTCTCCCTCGCCCTCTCCTGACCTCTCCCCTCGTTCGAGCTCATCCTTCTCCTAAGCTCGGTGCCCCAGGAGGGACATGGCTGGGCAGAGATCTCTGTCTGACCTTTCTTCGTCCTGGTGGAGATGTATTTGGGGCATAGACAACTGCCTTGTCCAGAGACCCGGAGGCAAGAGAGGGGTCCCCAGATTATGAGGAGGCCCCCCTGCCCCCATCCTGCCCGAGGCAGAGGAACCGGAGAGGAGAAGAGAGGTGGGGGAGGGTAGATCGTGCGCATTCCCTGGCTGTCCCTTCTCACCCCCCACCACACACTAGAACACTCCGGGGGAAGCTGTAGATTAAAATGTGCAAGTTCACATCCCATTTGTAGAGTTTCTGATGTAATTGGGCCGCGGTGGGGCCCGCACTTCGGTAAGTTTTAGAAGCTCCCCCGGTGATGTAAACAAACGGTCAGGGCTAAACATTGCCGCTAAAGGCAGACAGGGCCACAGGCAGCCTTGCAGAAGGAAGACTGTGCTTCCAGCAAAAAATCCGCTCGGGCCTGGGGTAACCAGACCCAAGGAAGACTCAGTGGGAACGCAAGAGGACGCATGACCTAAGAACCATATGCCCCTCACCCCAAAGCCGTGGCACTGGGCAGCCCCAAATATTCCCACATATCCCTAGGTTGAAAACAACAGCCCTGGAACATGTCTGAGGGTAAGTTCTTTGCCAGCCTAGAAAGACATGGGCTAAACACAAAAACTGAGATGTAGAAAGGAAAGTCATATTTTTTCCGTAATTACGTTTAAGGACTGGGATTTAACCTCTCCGTCTGTCTTTCCCACCAGACCATGAGCTCCTTATAAGCAAAATACCCATAGTTTTCAAACTTGTACCCTCGGCACGTGGCACACATGGGCACTTAAAAAAATGTTAGTTCAATGGATGAATGAAGGGATAAGACAGTCGTGTAGATGAATGGACTGACGGATTGATAAATAGATGGGTTGATGGATAGGTGCATGAATGGACGGATGGACAGACGATGGATGGATGGATGGATGGGTGGATGGATGAATGGATGGGTGGATGACTGGGTTGTTGAATATATAGTTGGGTAGACAGTTAAACTGATAGATGAATGGTTAGATGAGTACCTGGTTGAGTGCATAGATAATAAATAGATGCATGAATGGGTCTGTGATAAATCAGAGGGTTAGTAGATGACTAAGTTACCCAAAGAATGATTGAAAGAATGTAAGGAGGAATGAGCAAATGAGTCGAGGAGAAATTAAACGCTCTAATGGTTGGCCATACCTTCCGAGGGCATCGGCAGAGGGACGGGCTCCTCTGTTCCATCTCTCCCTGGTTACATGGGGCGGGGGGCTGGGCTTGGCAGATATTGGCTTTAGATTTCTATTTTCTATCAGGGCCCAGGAACAAGGAGGACAAATTGCCAAAAGCAAAGGAGGAGGAAGACATGCCTTAGAAAGTGAAGTCACTGCATCTGGATGGCCTCGAATTAATCCTGGATTTATTCTCCCAAGTTGGGACACATGGGCCCCACTCTTCGGTTACAGACACCGGGAGGAGCCCTCACACATCCTTGCTGGGTCTCAACTGCTATGTTCCCCTGCAGCTCATGTTGACAGCTGCAGGCCCTCTGCCCAGCCCAGCGGGGCATCCGAAAACAGCACTCCACCCAGACAAAAACAACATCCCCTGGTCTGACTCTAAGGAGTCTCCCGTGGGGTCTGGAGGCAGCCCTGCCTTGGCCATGCCTGAGGCTCCAACGTGGATTCACTTTCTTCAAGGAACACATCGGGGCACGGCCGAGCTCACTCTGACCTTGGTCAAGCATCAAGAAAGGGGAGTTTGCTTTGCCCATGCTCATGTGTTCAGAGTAAACCATCTGAATCTCGTTGAAAGTTCTCAGAATTGATGGCAGAAGTGAGTTCTGCTGCCCAAGGTCCTGTGTCAAAAGGGAGGCTCTTGGGTCCTTGGCCAGCAGCTCGCTCATGCTCACATGTGCCCTGTGTGCACACTGGGCAAAGAGAAGGGACACTTGGGCTGTGTCATCTCTACCCCAGACTTCTCTGCTCTCAAAATATCAACTTGCAATGCATCTCCGTCCATGAGGAACCAACCTGGGTCTATCTTTGAGACTGAGATGAAAGAATGAGGAGAAACCCACTGGTTTGGGCTAATGTCATCCGTGCCCAAGAGAGGTCACTGTTTTCCATCGCCCCAAGTTCAAATTCTTCTCCACCTTGTGTTTCTGTGGACACAGGTTAGAATTTGCATGGTTCCAGGATGCCAAACTCAGCCGCTGGTAATCATTCCCCAAATCTTGGCTCCTTAAAAGGAAGAACTTTCTAGTGAATAGTGCTCTCTAAAGAGGAAATAAACAGCCCAGGGAGGGGGTGAGGTCCCTGTCATTGCAGGTGTGCAAGCTGTGGCATCCAGGCCTTAGGCAAAGGATCGCCTAGGTCAAGGTGAGGCCCACGGACCAGCAGCATCCGCAGCACCTAGGAGCTTGTCGGAAATGCAATTCTTACCCACCCGCCCACCGTGGAGTCACACTCTCAGGGAATCTGAGTTTTCACAAGCCCTCCGCGTGAGCCGGGGTTACCTCTGAGGTCTTCTCGATCACGGAGATGAGAAACACCCACGCTTCATCCCTACATACTGCATTAATTTAACCTCTCATAATTTAGAATCTATAATCCTCTGAACTGGGTGTTAGGGACATTTGTGCTAATAATAAACACATACTAAGATTTATGGAGTGAGGAGTATGCACCGGTGTTACTCAAGAAAACACTAAGCTGTAAATATTTTAGCCCATTCATTGCTTGTATGCAAACGTGCTATGCATTACACTGGGTCCAATCAAGTCACTAAAGCAAGCCAGGGACAACCTGTATGGACACCCTAGTGAGAAGACTTGGCTAGAATCACAACTTGAACTCAAAAGTAACAAAACGACCTTTCTATTTAAATATTCTTGAACTCAGGTTTACTCTGAATTGGTCCATCTTTCTCTCTTCTCGACCCCACCACCTTTGCCAGAATGCAAGAGGTGTTCTGTCTTTTCTCGTCCCCTACATAGCCCAGAGCCTGGCAGTGAAGTAGATAGAGCTTGGTGTCTGACCCTGGCTAGTTCTGTTGTCTCGATTTATCTCCAGGCATAAAGGAGTCCAGCACCTCCAAAAGGTCAGTCCAACATGGAAACGGAGCAGGTGGGAGCCTGGGCCCGCACCTTCCTTCCGGCCCCACGGGAAGTAGGCAGAGTTTGAAAACCACTGAGGGGTGGGGGAGCACTGGCAGGGGTGCCGAGGGAAAGGACAAAGACAGACGAGGATCTCTGACTGGGCGATTTCCACCTGCCAGCCCTGCACTGAAGCCTCTCCCTCTACCCTCCCAACAGCCCCAGAAGCTGGCGTGACCGTTGCTTGCCCTCACTTTTCAGGTGAGGACACTGAAGTTTCGGGAGCATCATGAATCTTGAAGTCACCCAGGAGGACACGATGCCCGGGTGACCGGACAGGTGCCTGGACTCCAACCCAAGTTGTCTGACCACAAGGCCGTGTGCTTACTCACTCACTCTTCTGCGTATTTGAGACCCAGGTTCAAGCCCTAGTGAGCTAAAGATTGCTATGGAACCCCACCTCTCGCTGGGCCCCAGATTCTCCATTTGCACAAGCAGGTTGGAGTAGAGGGACCCTAAGTCCCTCCGGCACCTCATTTAGGTGCTGGCTTACTGAGTGTGCAACGGCCAAGCGCCTGCTCAGCCAGGGACTTTGGGATGGGGGCGGGGCACAGGCAGGAAGGACTGCAGGATGGCGAGCAGAGGGTAGTGAGTGTGCAGGCACTTGCCTGGCTCCCTGGGGGCTGACTAACTCCTGACTCAGACCCCCGCCCTCTGCCTCGAGGCGGACAATGTGCCAAGGTGCCAGAGTGTGTGGTCTGGGGTAACCCCTTTCTCTCTGCTTCAGACCGCATCCCACCCCCCACCATCCCAGCTGCTGGCTGTGGAGTCACACATCTTCCCGAGCACAGAACTTTCACTTGCCAAGACGGGAAGTGTGAACATTTGCGATTCATTTCCGGTCGCTCTGGCTGTGGCAGCCTGCTGAGAAAAGCTCCCGTCCCTTTCCAGATGCAATCTGGAAGAAATACGCAAGGCTCTTGCTTTTCTCATGAGCCAGTTTATAAACACAATTAGAGACAGGGAACAGGAATGTTCTGGGTGAAGCCCCTCCCCGCAAACTGGGAGACTTACGCAAATGTGGGCTGCGGCTTAACATATTCCCTCCTGGGGGCTTCTCCAGCGGGACACTCCCATCACGCCTCTCATTACAGGCGTCAGGGGAGCGGGTAACTCTCCTGAAGATGTCTTTGCACAGAGGATCAATTCAGCATCACTCTCCCAGCGAACAACTCAGGCTCCTCCCCAGCCAAGTGCTACACTGGGTGAGGCAGACTCTACCTCTCTGGTGATGGCTGCGGGGAACTTAGTCTCAGGTGCTATATTAGAAGCCTGTGCTGGTCCCACCCCCAGGCCAGTAGCAATCCATCTTCTTCAGTTCTGCCACCTGCAGAGGCCACCTTGCTTCCGATACACAGGGGAGGCACAGAGAGGCTACACAGGGTGGCCTGGGGCTTCCGCACCGTTGTGGCTTTGCTGAGACAGTTCCTTCCACTGAAAATCCCTTCCCTCTACCTCGCCTTTCCCTGCATCTGTCCTTGGAAACCTGGCCCACATGCCACCTTCTCCAGGGTCTTTGTAGACCCTCTCAGTTGAAAGACCTTCTTCCTCTACCGATGCAGCAGCTCACAGGTCCTTGACCATGAGGACTCATGGGAGGAAATACATTATACACTGAGACAAAATCCACATGAACCTATAGATGCTGTAACCGAAACACAAAGTCCACGAGATAGTTCTTACTTTTACTACGTGCGATGCACGGTTACTCTCTAGCCTGCTTCATTTTTGAAAATTGTGGAGACCCACTCAACTGATTCAATGACAGTTTAAAAACCCCACAGTTTGTATTTCTATTAAATACCTAATGTGACTACCTGACTACCTAATGTGACATTATCTCCAAGGTAAGGTTAAGTTAAAAAACGAGATATATGACAGGGTCTATAGAAAAACTAATCATTAATGTTTATTTAAGGGGGGGACACACATGTATCTCTGGTTAGAGACTCAAGAAACTAGCGACATCGGTTGACTCACACTGGTCTGTAACATACACGGACTGTCAAGCAACTGAAGAACGAACCGGGTTCTTGCATCACCGGGACCAGTATCAAGCCTGGTACACAGATGTGTCCATAAATGTTTAATAAGTTGAACTGAATTCAAAAGAACATGTAATGAAGGTCCCCAGACTTATTTACCCACCCACCCTTCTTCCTTTCTTCCCTCCTTCCCTCATTAATCCTTCAGTAAATATTTGCTGAAGACCTACTATGTGCTAGATGCCGGGGCGGTTGGTGGTGGCCTCAGCCTGGTTTTGCTTCCTCCCAGACCCGGTCTGCACTTTGCTTGGGTTCTTCCTTGGGGCAGACACTATGTCTCCAACACAGGAAGTTCCACGTCAAGCTCTTCTTGAGAGATTTCATCCCCACTGGCTGCTGGTCTCCTGCCACTACCTCCGCTCTCAGTGGCAGGACCAAGGAGCACCAGAGAGAACCCCGATGCACCCCACTTTCCAAAATCATTGCCTAATGAAGAGTCTCACAAATTCACACATTCCCGGTTACGGTAGATTACGGACCCGTGCCCCCCTACAGAACCAGAGCCTGCGTGGGGTCCCCGTCTGCACTGACGCTAGTCTTTACCACAAGACTTATCTCGGCCACCGGGGCAATAACAGGCGCGATGCACGCAGAGACTGGAAGAGAGGCAGGCGCATCGGGGCTTGTCTGCTTGGAACACGCTCCTGGGACCCAGCGCCATGCCGGAGAAGCTTAAGCCACATGGAGAGGCGAAGTGGAAACAACCCAAAGTGTCCAGCTGACGGCGGCAGCTGAGCTCCCCACCAGCACCAACTGCCATCTGTGTGTGTTCCAGCCCAGGGGAGACCCCAGGAATCGAGCCGACGCAATATCACACAGAGCAGATCGGCCACGCCGCTGACCACAGCCAACCCACGGGACGGGAGAGGTAATGAAACGGTCGGCATCTCACATCGGGACATCGACAGGAGGCTTCTCACCCAGCAAGAGCTGAACAGACCCTGGAAAGCGCATCTCCCTGCTACATCCCCATCAACGCGGTCGACCCCCACAAGGACCTCACGGGGTCCCAATGGGGCGGTTGTGTCCTCCAGCTCAGAAACAGCAGGGGCTGTGGCCTGAGTTTACTCCAGCCGGAGGGGCTGGCCACAGTGTCACTTAGGTCCAGAATGCCAACTCTGGCCAGGCCCTCCTAGGTCATCTAACCTCTCTCTGGGACACTCAGACCCTTGGGGACACTCAGCACTGTGTCAAGGAAGCACGAAGCCCCTGGATGCATCTAAATATTTTCTAGAGCAGACTCTTTTACTCAAAAATTCAGAGGGTGGGGATGAGTAGTGAAGCAATGGTTATATTCCAAAGCAGGAGGCAACATTTGCATGAAGCCTTAGGTCAGAATTCGGTTTACCCATCACACGTCAATAGGTTGCTTTTGGTTTTTTCCTGAGGCCCTTGGATGTCCCATTCCCAGGTCTGTTAGGGAAGCTTTGGTAGAGAAGGGTGGGGAACCCGGATCCATTTGCAGCCCCCCTCACTGTTGGGGAGCCTGAGCTTTGGGAAGGGAAGGGATTCGTCCAAGGTCGCCCGGAGAGCCAGTGGCGGAGCCGGGCGCGAACCCAGGCTTTGTGTGTCCGGTTCCACCTTTTCCTTTCGTTAATTAACAATCACGGATAGAAAAAATTAACTTTTTGAGGCCAACCTCCCAACTGAAAGAGAAACTAAGATATTACCTTTCCTGACGTCTTCACGCCTTTCCAGAGGCTGAAAAACAGGATGATGACGACGGCGATCAGACAGAGCAGAAGCTGCCACTGCGGGAGGCCGATGTCGTGGATCCCGCTGCTCTCATGAAGGTGCAGGACGCCGCGCCTGCCAGGAGGAGAGGGGCGGGGGCCCGGGAGGGCGCCGTCAGTCAGCGAGGATGGAGTGATGGAGACCGGCCCTGTGCTGCCCAGCACTGCATCGTGTGGGCCCGCTCGGGCCCAGGACAGCCCGGTATGCGACAGCGAGTCATCTGAGGACGCTCCCGCTCAAGGCTGCTTTTTAAACAGTAAGAAAAATCTCTTGAGTGTCACCTGCATGTCTGATCCTGGGGAGATGGTAGTAAGTGACAGGAAAGGTCTCTGCCCTCACAGTCTACAGCAGAGGTTCTCGACGGGGGCGACGGGGCAGTTTTGCCCCCCAGGGGACACTGGAACATTTGGCCGTGTCTGGCGGTGTCTTCAATCGTCACGATTTGGGCAGGGGCGGTGCTACTGACATCTAGAGAAGAGAGGCTAGGAACACGCTACAGTGCACAGACCAGCTTCTGACGACAGAAGGTTATCTAGTCCGACACATCCGTGTCGCTGAGGTTCTACGTGCCTGGTCCAGAGCCTGGGACAGGAGTAAACGTGTCTCCTATGGGGGACGTGTACCACAGCTGCAGGTATGTGCATACACACCTGGGCACGCCAATCCTGGGTCTTCGCCCAGCAGAAGCCTGTGCCTAAGTTCACCGCAAGTCATGTTCTAGAATGTTCATAACGGCACGACTCATAACAATCCCAAAGTGCAAAATACTCAAATATCCATCAACGGTAGAATGGATATAGAAATTATAATGTGTTCATGAAGTGGAATGTTGCACAGAAACAAGCTCCGTGTGGATGAATCTCTCACATGTAACTCCGCTCGCACATAATCCTATGCGGAAGCCCAGACCAAGAGTTCTTTCTGCCTGACTTCCGCTCACATAAAGCACAACGGGCGGAACCACCCTGAAGGGGCAGAGGTCAGGACAGGTGTGCCTCTGTCTGGGAGCGGGGGTCTGACGGGCAGGGGACACAGTGGGGACTTCTGCGCCACCAGCCAGCTGTCCAAACCTGTAGAGCGTTTTTATGAGTTTATCTGAGCCAAGCGGACGACAATTGCCAGGGAGCAAAAGCTCAACGGATTAAGAAAACCCTCAGGAGCATAAAAGGCAGTTTGGCAGCGTATTTCACACGTTAGAATCAAAGGAGACGAAAAGGGGGTTACGCAGATGATGGGAGATGAAGGAGGCGGAAGAAAGCAAAGCGAGAAGGTGGGGGCGTCTCTGGGATTGAACGAAAGTGCCACAGAGGGTCACATACTTCCTTTACGCCGTGGAGACAGGAGAGTTAATAACGAACATCTCCAGCAAGTGGAGACGGTGTGTGGGAAACAAAGAACCACGAGGGGCTCCGTGGTCTCTGCTCCGGTGCCTGTGGCGTCCAAAATAGGACCCCACGCCGATGGGCCAAAGGTGTGTTATCTTACATGCAAAAAGACAACAGACAGGTTCACTTAAGGTGAAGACTGGCCTTCGTCAAGGAAGCTACAGGCCTAGAATGTGACCCACCATGACCCGCCTTTGATTAGGGATTTTTATGTTCGGACCCTCCTATGTGGTTACTTTTGGTCTCTAGGTGCCGGTTACTTGGCTGTGTTCAGTGGGTGACATTCGTTGAGCTGTCGCCTCATGACACTCATTTCCCTGTAATACGTCATCCTTCAGAAAAACACAAATAGAATAAATATTTGCGAGATTTAAGAATATCAGCTTCTTCGAACAATCTACAATGAAGGATGATAAATAGAATTCCAAACGAAGTGACCAATTGCTAATTAGACTCTAGACAAAGACTGTTAGGATCTAACCAAGGTCGAGTAAGACCAATTGATAACATAGGAGGCCAGGTCTCAAGGGAGGGAGGTTCCCCCGACCACAATTCCACACCCTTGCAAGATGAAGAAAGCAGAACTCTTCAGATGTAAGTGGGAATAGCTTGCTAGGTTCTTCCCATGCATTCAAATCACTTGCTCCTCACTGGTGCCTGCTGTGAGCAGACGCATCCTGGGCTTCAGAGGCACAGTGGGGCTGCGGATACTCAGCCACAGTGCCTGCCTCGGGGTGAGGTGGGGGGCTTCTATTCCAGCACGGGAGGCAGCATTAAACACCATGAAGACCCATACGTGTTGGGAGGGCAGAGGAGCTGAGGGAGTTCCATGGGCATTCAGAAGTGGCCTCTGTCCTGTCTGTCTCTGCACCTCACACTCGGAGGCTGAAGTCAGTGCAAACTTCCAGACACCCTTCCTGGCCCATCTCCAATGTCACCTCCTCTGGGAGGCCTCCGTGATCATCTCTGATAGGGATCTTTCAGTCCTTTCTGTTCTGTGGCTCTTGGCTCATTTTCCAAGCAGAGCCTGGTCCTCCAGCTTTAGGGCTGACTGTGCGCAAGGCTCTGCTGGGGACGGAGAGGTGGATTAACCACGTCCGGGTCCCCAGGGCTAAGCCAGGCCTGGCAGTGGGCCCGTTAGCTCAGAGCAGATGGCTGGATCAGGAGCAAATGCTCACAACCTTCCTAAACCAAACAATCCACCTTCTAGAAAAATATGAGACCCGGGACCACCCGAAGGAAAGAGGCTCCATCTCCCCACGCTCACACTCTAAGCAACGGCTCCCCCGACCTGTAAACTCCTAACCCCTCTGTCCAGTTCTCTCGCACTGCTCGGGGCGACCACTCATGTCCCACGTAGAAGCTTTGCTTCCCTGTGTCTCATCCTCTCAGCCCGGAGTATGTTCAGAGAGTGGCTGGTTAATCAATTCGTACCAGTGCGAAAGGCAAAAAGTAGCTTAATAGGTTGTCTTTCTTTGGAGAGGTGCCTGAATCCAAAATTTTTCACA